GTTTGGTAAATTAACCGATATCTAATTACATGCAAAATGACTTTTTCAAAAAGCTGATCGAGTTGCTATGAGTAGCTGCTCTTTTGGTAATGTTCTGACAATAAGCTAGTATCTTTCTAATTTTTTTTCCATCTTTATCCTTATTATTTTAAATAAAGAGCAAATTACACTTTTGGTCCTGTGACTATTGGGGGTGTGTTAATTTGAGTACGTGACTTTTAAAACTAACAATTTAGTCCTTTAACTATCATTTTTTTAGCAGATTTGGTCCTCCAGGCCAAATTGCCGGTGGAATTTGGCCGGAAAGACGTTCGAATTTTTAAATAAAACGCTATTTTTTTTACAATTAAAAAGATCGAATTACCCCCACTAATATTTGATTTAAAAATTCGAATGTCTTTCCGGCCAAATTCCACCGGCAATTTGGCCAGGGGGACCAAATCTGCTAAAAAAATGATAGTTAAAGGACTAAATTGTTAGTTTTAAAAGTCACGTACCCAAATTAACCCACCCCTAATAGTCACAGGACCAAAAGTGTAATTTGCTCTTAAATAAATGACATCATTTACACATCCCAATTAAATGACATCCTTATTATTTTATATGGCTCAAGTAGTAATATCTCCAACGAAAATTTAAGTGAAGACATCTATTGAGATGAATGAGATACGCTATTGCAACTTTATTATGTGATGCTAGATCATGATTATGCTAATAGTTTCATTTCAAAATGTTAAATTTTAATATGTAAATAAACTTATTTAATTTTAGAACTATTTAAATTTTATGAAGATGCCCTTTTTAGTCTTTTTACATTTACCAGCTTATCAAAAAAATTAATTTTACCAAACACTTTTAAGCATAATCAGTTAGATTAACAGCCTCGATCCTCAGTTTTCACGCCATTTTTTAGCTTATAGCTTGTAGTTTTTCAGCTTTCAGCTACCTTTTCAGTTAGGTTTGCCAAACATATATAGCATAGTGAAACAATTAGATTGACTGTTTAACCAAGTCAAACAACTAATAGTGATCAAATAAGTCAAAATTGAATGAAAAGCTAACTATGTTACCAAACAGGGTCATTATGTGTGGTCGTGTGGATAGTGTGGTATGCCTATAGTTAACAGAAGGCACATAAAATATTAACTATAGGCACATAATATGTAATTATCATATTGTATGCTTGTAGTTAATAATTATGTACATTTCGACTTATTTACAAGTACATAATTTAATTATTAACTGAAGGCAGATAATATGTGAATTACAAACGCAATTTTGAGATCAAGGTTTACAATGCAAAGTGGATTCTACTACATGGTAGAACAATTGCTAATGCTTCATGCCTACGTGTTATTCTATATACCGTTTATTTAGGAAAATTTGTATTTTTTTTCCTTAAAATTAGTTATCATTTTAAAATATAATTCATTAACTTTCAAATGGACAAATGTAATCTTTCAATAATCAATTTTGTTAGACAAAATTAAAAACTTAATAAAAAAACTGAGGATCACATTTGTTCACTTAAAATCTAGAATTTTTAAAATTAAAATAGTGAATATATAATTTATTATTTTTTAATTAATTAAGAAAGATATATTATAAAATTAAAAAATATACACGCACTATACTAACTAACAACGAGTCTTCAAAAAAAAAAAAAAAAAAACTAACAACGACAATATGTAGTGTCATATGTTGTAAGCAACCTTAGACCTAAGTTGACGACAAGGATTTATATCTGCCCATGAAGAAACAGAAACTTGCTACCTATTTTATGCATTGACAGGTTGACCATTGTCAATTTCCTTACCTAAATCCCATTATTATGCCCATTGCACTTGTGAGGTGGAAGATAGAGTATGAAACGAGAGTGTGTGACTGTGTGAGTATGTTGGACTGAGGTTGGTGTGTGCTTCTGTGCTTCATGCAATCATGCATTAGTAATGAATTTGTAATATTTATCAAATTGATCCAACCAGTTTTTTATTATTTTTCAACAAACCTCAGTCGTTGATCTATTTAGATGGATGAATCATATCAGTTCTTCGTTTTTTTTTTTTTTTTTTAATTTTTTTTATGGAAAACTGTTCTCACATAAACCCTCATATATGCATATATATATGGTGATGATCCTATAAGAACCACCATTCCCATGAGAACCAATATGGTGTATTAAAAAAATAAATCTATGGATGAGACTATTGAGATAATTCAACATTCGCGTGTGCATATGGAACATATTTTGTGTGTATAATTAGTCATGTATGCATATTAAGCATGTGTTGTGTGCAAATATATGATTACACACAACACATGCTCCATATGCACACGCGAATGTTGAATTCTCCCAACTAATTTCATCAATGGATTTACTTTTTTAATGCACCATATTGATTTTCGTGTACCCATTAGGAGGGTGGTTCATTCTTATATGGTCACTAATATATATAGGCTAAAGATTTTGTGAGAATAATATTATATGAGAGAAATAAAAATCAATATCAGCCTTACATCTATAAAAATTCAACGGATTTGATTATATTTTAAAAAAAAATGTTGTGGCATTTTTGTAACTATCATCAACTTTACTATGCAGAATCTTTAACAACAAAATATGCAAATCCGGTAATTTTATAAAATAAAGGAAAAAAGTTAAATTCTAAATTCTATACTGTAAATGCTAGATCTTAAGCAATAAAAAGTGAACAACTAAACCAAATAAAATCAAAAACTTAATCATAAACTCTAAAATCGAAACGCTAAGTGCAATGAACTTTCACAATTTTACAAGTGCAATCTTTTAATACTAAATATGCAAAATGTTAATACTAAATGAAGTTTATTACCAATTTGGTCCCTTGACTATTAGGATTTTACCAATTTAGTCTATCGACTATGAGGACTAAGTTGCATTAGATTTCCAATTTCACATGTCATATTTAAAACCTCTGTAAATTATTTTTATGGATCTGGTCCACAGGTGGATCGGGATCCAAATGTTCACAATTTACATACTAAATGTTCATAATTTATATTTTAAAAATTTACGATTTGTATACTACGAACACACAATATTAACATTGATTACTTTGTTTTGTATTCACAAGTTCCTTTCAAATACTGTAATCACATAATATTAACAGATTATGATTTGATAACTCTGTATTGTACTCACAAATTCCCTTCACAAATGTTATGTGTTTTAACTTAAAAATACAATTTATATTATAGAAGCTTACAATTTCAATACTAAAAGTACACAATTTATACGTTGTTTAGGATCATAATTCACATTGCAAGGTGGATCCTTGTCCATGGTATAACAACCAATCATTATTGCATGGACCATGGTCCACACAATTGTGTGGACCATAAATAAAAAGTACATTTTTAATATACTAAAAGTATATTATTTATGTACATAAAGTATATTTTTTAAAGTACATTTTTAATATACTAAGCGTACATTATTTTATATAATGTACCTTCAATACAAAAATAATGTACTCTTAGTACATTAAAAATGTACCTGATATTCATGGTCCACATAATTGTGTGGATCATGGTCCATGCAATAATTTGCCAATCGTTATACCCTGCACCACTGTGCGCCCCGCGCCTCCCAAAACGACGTCGTTTTGGGAGGCGCGATTGAAAGTTGACATGATTATGTATATTTGTTTATACAATTATGTATATTTTTTATTATGTACATTTTTTATACAATTATGTACATTTTTTTTAATACAATTATGTACATCCGAAACAGGAAATTTTTATGTATTATGTTAAGAGTTGATGTGTATTATGTTAAAAGTTTATGTTTATTATGTATTATGTTAGATTATGTGTATTATCTTTTAAAAAGGAGTATGTGTATTTTGTTATATAATTATGTTCATTCATGTATACAATTATGTGTATTCTAGTATAACATTATGTACATTTTTAAACATGAGATTTTTTTTAAGAAAAATTAACTGCCAAACACTAGGTAGCGAAATTCTAAAAAAAAATAAAATTGAAACGACATCGTTTTACATCTGAGATGTGCGCCGTGGTGCAGGATATAAATTGCCATAATTTTCCGTATAACAACTGAAAACCTCTCATGTAGACTTTTTTCAAGTAACCAACTAATTTTGGATCCGAAATATGGGCCCACTAAATAAAGCCCATATGAAATTAACCCAGTTCTTTTTCAGGGTCTCCGTCCGAAGTTGTGGCCTATAATCTGACCACAAATGCACTCTCATAAGAGCTATTGATCCATTTTATAAGAGCGGAAACGTAATTAGACACGTTGCCAAGTCGGTCCAAATATTCGGATCGCCCCTTCTGAGTTGTATTTTTTTTTCATGCAACTTCTCTGAATATTTACTTCCGGAAAATCAATCTCCTTATAGCTGTCTGTATCTTTTAAGGGTCGTTTGGTTCACGGAATGTCAGATTACCTTAGGGAATGTTAGATTGCTGGGAATGTTAGATTACTGGGAATGTTAGACTCCTGTGTTTGGTTAAAATTGGGGTATGTAATATAATCATGTTTGGTTTAGGGTTATCTTTTATTCACACACTACAATATCCTTAACATATTTTCATATATTTTAATAAATTTTAAAATTAAAATAAGTAAATAAGATAACGGTATCATATATAATTACATGATTTTAAAATATTAACTAAAATATTGAACTTGAGAAACAAAATTATTTTATATGCTAACCTAGCATAATAAAAATAAAAAAATATATAATTACAAAAATAATTATATGTGTGTGTGTGTGATAAACTAACATAACCAAGGTTATCTTACATAACCTTAGAAATGGAAGGGAATCACATTCCCTTCAAAATCCTATGTGGAGGGAATGTGACATTCCTAGGGAATGTTAGATTCCCTGAGATAATGTGAACCAAACACAGGAATGTGAGCTTTGGAATGTCACATTCCCTTGGTTATGTTATATAACCTGAACCAAACGCCCCCTTATATCTTTATCTTAATCCATATTCATAACTGCAAGTCTGATTGTGTCTGTGTTAGGTTTCATCTTGATTATATTCTGTTAGGACCAGTTCATCTGTTAGGGTTTGGAATCTTCATGTTCGGCTCATTGGAACAATGATGCTTTCGCGAATCGCACGCTCCGTATCTAAGTCATCTCCCTCGACGGTTAATCGAGTGAGTCCAGATGATATAATTCATTTTCATTTTAAATTTAGCTTCCTTTGTTAAATGAGTATTTGTTAATTAGAAATGAATTTCTGTTTGATTTTGTATTGTGGGGTATGTAGGGATTAATTTCTGGTGGTTATGGGGTAAGGACGAAGGTTTTGGATGAATTGGCGGCTCAAAGTACGTGCATTGCACGCGTTGAAGGCGGAATAGGGTTTGTGAGAAGCTATTTGACGTCTGTTGGAGCTGGAAAGGGGATTATTAACAGAGCTTATTTATCAGATGTTGATTCCATTTTCACGAACCCGAGACTTCGTAGGCTTTTTTGCAGTCAAGCTCCTAAAAAGAAAAGTGAGGGAAACAAGCATTTGATCATGTTCTGGCTTTATATGTTGTTTAGAAATTTATTTTGTTTACATTAACTATGTTTTTTTGATTGTGTGATGCTTCTAGACTATGAAAACTATTATCCGAAGAACAAGAAAGAAATTCCAAAAACAAACAACCAAAAATCAGAGTCTGGAAGAGGTATGGAGTTTACTTCCTCTGCACTGGTTGGTTTTCAATTTCTCAGTATTATAAGTGTGCACTATAACTGCAGAGCATATATGAATTTCTATTTCTATTCATCAATTATTGGTCAAGCCTGGAGCACCATTTAAGACTCTGGCTCCTCGTGTGTTATTGGTTATTTTTTCTCTTCCTACTTTTTAGTAAGGGGCCAATTTCCTTAGTTATTTTGTACATCGTATTTGATTTCCTTTCCACTTCTGCAAATAGTTCTTCTCTTCCTAATTTTTCGCTCATTTTTCTGGGGCGTTTACCAAATGAAGATTTCTATTCTACTGCAAATTATATGGAGTAAGTGTGCAAATCAATTAATATAGCATGCATATGGAAACTTGCATAGTCTAAGAACCTCAGTTTGCATATGGATATAAATGTGCACAACCTATAACCCAAGCATGCATATCCTATAAACTAAATTTGCAAATCACAGAGCCCAAGCATGCATAAGTTAGGTAGTGTGCAACAACAACTAAATAGTGTACATGCAACTGTGTTCTAGAAAATTTTGTAATTTCACCAGATCAAAATCTTCATTCTTGATTTATGCTATATTGCTATAATCAAGAACAAATGCTTGTGTGGACTAGTATAATGACCAAATCAAACTTTGTTCCCCAATCCTCGGGAACTTCTTCAGTTCTTCTGACCTGGTCATCTTTCAGTTCATCTGATTACTGTCCTCAATTTCAACTAGTGTCAATAGGTTTGTGGTTATGGAGTTTGTGATGGTTTGTTTGATTAGAGAGACGATGATCAGTGCCACCTTTTTAAAAATAAAAAAAATAATAAAAAAATTTATTTCTATATGAAATTGCAACTGGGAGCATGCTAAACTTAAAATGTTTTACACACTAACAAGGAAGCACATCGTGAATGTGATGCTTCTGGAGTTCTGGCATAATCAATAACTTCTCTTACCTTCTGCACCATTATTGTATGCTATTTGAATTTGTGTTTGCTTGCCTGAGTGGCTGCTATATACGCACATTTATGGATAGTGCCAATGGTGTTGCAAGTACTAAGTCCACTGTTTAGTCTTCTATGTTATGTGCCTGGATATCATGCTTAATGAAATGACTGCTTAATATTTTTTTTTTCCTGTTTACTTAAATATAAAATTGACGTGTGTTAAAATAATGAAAATTACAGTTACAAGTTTAGTAAGCTAGAAATTTTTAAAATTTGGTCAGTTTATTTCTAGTTTTAGTTTCAAGCTTTAACAAAGCCATCACTTTTCTCTCTCACAATTAGCAGAGGATTCAAGTTCAGGTCAGCAAGGAAGCCCTCAGGACAACTTTTTGAAGCAATATCAAAACTTAATCACATCTTTGCTCTTCATTGGATTTGTTTTATCCTCAATGGTTTTGAGTCCACGTACCCAGAATGAGGTTAGTTTCTTACTGAAAATTTATCTCTCAACTTTTGTGTTAACCCACAGAGCACTGAGAGCAGTATCAGCCTTTCTGTTCCCCTTCAACCCCACCCCCACCCCCACAGGCCTTTTGAGGGAATAAAATTCAAGAATGTGGAAATCATTGAATCTGTATTTGCTAGTTGTTCGAAATCAATGCTCCAAGGAAAGGTGAGGGATTTACCAAATGAAGATTTCTATTCTACTACAAATTGCCGGTTTAGTTTAGGTCCTAACTTCTATATATTGATATATTCATTAGCACTGTAGATTATGACTGTTTAAAATAGAGCATCTAATTTGGTTCAAATGCAACATCTCAGGAAATTTGAAATTCTAGTTTAGTATTTTAGGAGCTTAAGATCCAGTTAAAGGTAATTTCTGTTACCTACCCGTCGCATTATGGGTATGCTGCTAAATATATAGTCTATGGTTAGGAGGTGTTGTGTCAGCCTTTTCTATTTATTATTCATAACTCTTTTATAAACAGCTTTGTTGTTAGATATTTATACTTGATTCAGTTGGTGACTTGATAAATTTTTTTCCCTGATAAATTTCATAATGTAAATTTTAGATTAGCTTCCAAGAGTTCAAAAATAAGCTGCTTGAGCCTGGTCTTGTCGATCACATTGTTGTTTCAAACAAATCAGTGGCAAAAGTTTATGTGAAGACATCTGCACCCACAACTAATCAAAGTGGTAGTGATACTGTTCTTGGTCCAACAACAGATACCAATGGTAGAAGAAATGTCAGCCAGTACAGATATTATTTTAATATTGGAAGTGTTGAATCATTTGAAGAGAAGATTGAGGAAGCACAAGAGGCATTAGGAATTGATCCTCATAATTTTATTCCTGTGACATATGTCAACGAATTGAATTGGTTCCAAGAAATAATGAGGTATGGTCCTACAGTATTGCTTCTAGCAACCCTTATCTTTATGGGACGGAGAATGCAGGGTGGGATCAGTGTTGGAGGTCCTGGTGGAAAAGGTGGCCGTGGTATATTTAATATTGGTAAAGCCCATTTCACTAAGATGGACAAAAATTCAAAAAATAAGGTCAGAATTACCTTTTTTGTTTTTGTTTTTTTGTTTTTTTGTTTTTTTTTGTTTTTTTGTTTCTGTTTTGTTTTGTTTGTTTGTTTTTCAGTCAACTAAATAATGATTCAGTATATCTTTGATAATCAGTTTTTAGCAAAGTCATTATTTTATTTGGCGTTCCAGGTTTTTTTCAAAGATGTGGCTGGATGTGATGAGGCAAAGCAAGAAATCATGGAATTTGTGCACTTTCTAAAGAACCCCAAAAAATATGAAGAATTAGGAGCCAAAATTCCCAAGGGTGCTCTTCTTGTGGGTCCTCCTGGTACTGGAAAGACACTTCTAGCTAAAGCCACGGCAGGAGAATCTGGTGTGCCTTTTCTCTCCATCTCTGGGTCAGATTTTATGGAGATGTTTGTTGGAGTTGGGCCTGCTAGGGTTAGGAGCTTATTTCAAGAGGCAAGACAGTGTGCACCTAGTATAATTTTCATTGATGAGATTGATGCGATTGGCAGAGCAAGGGGACGTGGTGGTTTTTCAGGTGGGCATGATGAACGTGAGAGCACATTAAATCAGCTTTTGGTGGAGATGGATGGATTTCAGACCACATCAGGTGTGGTTGTGCTTGCTGGGACAAATAGGCCTGATATTCTTGACAGAGCCCTGTTGAGGCCAGGTCGTTTTGATCGTCAAATTTCAATAGATAAACCTGACATTAAAGGCCGTGAGCAAATATTCCGAATATATCTGAACAAGTTGAAACTTGACCAAGATGCATCATATTATTCACAACGGCTTGCTGCTCTGACACCAGGATTTGCTGGGGCAGACATTGCAAATGTTTGCAATGAAGCTGCTTTAATTGCCGCAAGGAATGAGAGTACCCTGATAACTATGGACCATTTTGAGTCAGCAATAGATAGGGTAATTGGTGGTCTTGAGAAGAAGAACAAGGTATCTGATTGCCCCTGTTCCCTCTATACTTGCTTCGTTGTTTTCTGACCTAGTAGCTCTTATCCTGTTTCTAGTATTATTATGATTTGATGTCTTGGGAAGTCTATTACGAAATTGCTGAAATCAAGCTGCTTCTTTCAGTTAATATGATAGCAATTGTTCTTACTATCCAACAAGGCTTATGAACTTGGGTAAAATATTTGTTTTCTAATGGGTTTTCATTGATATGACTTTTTGGGCCTTTTGAAAAAATTTCCAATGAATGATGAGCTTGGTTTTCTTATACTTAACCTACTTGTGTCTATTATTTCATCCTGGGGTCTGAAATTCTTCTTTGAAGCTCTTGCTCAATGTTATATGGATACTTGTTGGTTCTTTTTTTGTTACATGTTGGGATCTCTATTAGACTCTTTGGAAGTTACTTGTTGCTGTATGTTCCTTATCAATAACCAAAGCTCAGAATGCCATTTTTCCATGGTCAATGGTGTTTCCTTCCGTAAAGAGCACTTTCCCTAATCTGCTTTTGTTTATTTGTCTTTATAGTAACTTAAAAACATGCTTTCTGCACACTACAGAGTATGTGAGCTAAAGGAAAGTCACTGTATGCTAACTAAGATAGTAAGGTTTTCCAAAGAAGGAACAATGTTACATTGTTGGATTTTTTGGTCTGTTGCTGCTGGAACAGCAAAATATCTAGCATGAGAGACGTGATTACTTTTGTCTTGCTTGATTAGGCCTTCTGCTATTTATTGTCTTAACTTAGAATTTCTCTCCTTTACATTGTAAGTGGCATGCCATTTCTATGGATGTCTAAAATGGCTCTCAGAAAGCATTTGCCAACATTACTTAACTCAATAAGAGCTTGTTGATCATTAGCATATCATGGTACCCATTTTCTTGCATAGGTCATAAGCAAGCTGGAAAGGAGAACAGTTGCTTACCATGAATCTGGCCATGCAGTTGCTGGTTGGTTCTTGGAACATGCAGAACCATTGCTCAAAGTGACAATTGTTCCACGTGGTACTGCAGCCCTTGGGTTTGCTCAATATGTTCCTAATGAAAATCTTTTGATGACAAAAGAACAACTCTTTGATATGACATGCATGACACTTGGTGGTCGAGCATCTGAGCAGGTAAAATCAACTCTCTTATCTATTTAATTTCTCTCCTGAAAGAAGCTAGTTATGGGGTATTTAGTTGGGTATACTTTTTAAAATTATTTTTGCCTTAAACATTGGAATTGGAATCAAAATTAATAAATAAAAATATAAATAAATAAGTATAAATGTAAATAACACACAGTTCTGCAACAATGCGTGGAAGACAGTTTTTATTTTTATTTTATATTTCATCCATATTTTTTATTCCAAAGTCCAAAAGAGGGAGGAGAGTCATGACATTTATCATTTCAATAGGTTTGAATTTGATAGTGGAGTAGCCAAAGTAAGCAAATAAACAAGAGGAATAAATCCAATAATGGGGTGTAAAAGTTATGAACAAAACATCTCTGATGCATCGACTTATGTGTCTGATACTACAAATAACACCGTTGAATATTCTAGTTTTCATTTCCTGAGGAACATGATTAACAATTTAACATGTCTTGATTGTTTTGTTCTCACATATAGCTTAGGCAAAGTGATATCACTAGGAAATGCTTTCTAATGTATTATGAGTGGTTGGCTACCCTCTTGGTGGTTTTTGAAGCAAATAACTGCTAATAAGTAGGGACTCACACTAGCTACAATGTTCTGACATGGTTTCTTTCTGGTCTAGGTTATGCTGGGGAAGATATCTACAGGAGCACAGAATGATTTGGAGAAAGTCACCAAGATGACATATGCCCAAGTGGCAGTGTATGGTTTCAGTGACAAGGTTGGTCTGCTTTCCTTCCCTCCAAATGAAAATGCATTTGAGATGAGCAAGCCTTACAGCAACAAAACTGCTGCCATCATTGACAATGAAGTTAGAGAATGGATTGCAAAGGCTTATGAATGCACAGTCCAGCTCATAGAGGAGCACAAGGAGCATGTAGCTCAGATTGCTGAATTGTTACTTGAGAAGGAGGTCTTGCATCAAGAGGATTTGGTTCGGGTACTCGGCGAACGCCCATTCAAGAGTAGTGAGCCCACAAATTACGATAGGTTCAAGGATGGATTTGTAGAAGACAAAGAAACTGAAGCTAAAGATACAGCTGAGAATAAGAGTACAAAGGATGATGACTCGTCACCTCTCCAGCCAGAGGTTGTTCCTGTATAGTCTATTGTGACTTGTAAGTGAGATCATTGAGGTATCTTTGATATTTGCCTACTCTGCACTCACTGAAGTTATATAAACTATCAATCCAGCTATCAATGACAAGCAAGTTTGGAGTTTTTGCATGGTATTATACTATTACTCGTAACAAATAAAAATGAAAAAACAAATCTATTTGCCTCACAGCATTTATGTTTCAGAATTTACTTTATCATTATCATGCCAGCTTAATAGCTGTTTGCCCCCTTTTCAATCCTTTGCATTTAGGAACTATGTATATTTAGCTTGGTTCTGTCTCAATTTTGGTCCAATCTTTCTTTGGACGGGATTTGTCATTAGTTTGAAGTGGAACATTGATCTGTAGTTGGCTTTGTTTGATATATATCTCATAATCTTATGACTATTTAGTTTAGGTAATTGTATATAGTTTATAATACTCTCCAGTATTGGTTTAACTAAATTCAATGTGCAGTTCATAGATTGTTCTATTATTTTTACTCTTTAGCCAACATATAGAAGTAGGTACTTTATTTTTTTAATTTAAGGGGGCTAGCATTTCATACTAAATTTTATTTTTGATTTTCTAGAAACATCTTTACATTGGCAGTATTTTTAAACAAGAGTTTATTTTTCCTCTTTAATGTGTTCATTTGGATAGAACTATGTATTTATTTAGGCAGAGCCAGAGTATAAATGAAGTTGAGGTTCCTTTTTGCCCACAGTGGTTGGCACTTGGCACGTGATCTCACCATGCAACAGATGGATGGATGGCTAGCCACGCAGTCTTGTGCTACCCTTCTTATTATCAGTGCAAAAAGTTGTCCATCATGAAGAAATTTACATTATGTTGACTTTCTTGCACTGCCTACTGGACTTCAGTCTCAATTGTCCCATTGTTTGAAAGGTCACTTCTTCAGTTCTTCTATGAATTAGATAGTTGGTTCAACATTTTCTCCCCCTTTTTGTTAAATAAAAGTGCACACGGTTTCATTATTATATTTTCTCTTTCAAAATTAATTTTGGCTCAAAGATTTACTTGTTTCTTATATTTTGTTTACACTTTTGGTTTACTATAATTGTACATCTGTGTATTCCTAAATTAATGGTTGGGTTCTTTAAAGCTTAGACACACAAGTTATAAGAAATAGCATGTCATTTTTCATTCAAAAAAAGCTTTTCGAAAAAATAGAATGATAGACTTTGTAATCTCATCTATTCCAGTTCTAGATTTCTAAAATGTTTCTTAGCATGAAACTTCATTGCTTGCCAATGCTGTGGCCTGTGGATTTAGAACAAAATAGACTGGGGATAGTTTCATGTTGCTTGGCATTGGTCTTTTTCTATTTGGATAGTTTCAATTGAAGAGAAGATCACGAAGAGTTGTGTACGCTACTAACGCTGATTTGTTTTCTAAAAGGTAAGGCCCAATCAGTAACCACCAATTTTCCTCAACAGATCAGACTTCATGTAACCTTTTGGTAGGAATGTGCTTCTTCACACATCCACCTTAATCCATTTCCAATAATTTGATCAAACCAAAAGGCAGATCTTATTCTTGTGTTAGAAGCAATAGTACATGTTAGAGGGCAACCATAACCAAATTTGTCAGACAATTAACCTAATTGTCTGAGAGTTACATATTGACTTTTTTGATTAAAATCGATCAAAAACAATCTAGGTTGATTTTACTTGGGTGCACATTCAATGCGGTGGTTAAGGAGTGGCAATTTCCTTACATGTGTGATATTTTTATACAATTAATTAAGATCAATTACAACCATCTTTAAATGATCAACCCTATACACTTAAAAACTAGGAAACTAGCAGACCTTATGCTCACCCATATTAAAGTACATCTTTAGAGCATCCACACTAGTTAAAATTTTACATGCTTTTTTTATGATACACATATGGGAGAGAGGATAGAAGAAAAAAAAAAAAAATCTGCAGGTTTAAAAAAAAAAAAGAAAGAAAAGAATATGGCCCCTTAACGCACCAACGGGCGCGTGGGCGTTTGTTATGCGAGAAACGCGCACAATAGGTACTTTCATTTTTTTTTTCTCTCCTTAATATCTACAAAAAACTATTTCCTTGTAGAAGTTAAAAATAGCTTCTCTCACCTCCTTCTCTATATCTAAGTCATCGTGGGTTCCACAAAAAATAAAGAAAAATTCACTGGTGTGGATGCTCTTATCAACCAATCCTGATTTGATTGGTCGACAAGTAAAAGAAAAGTGTATAGACCACTTATGAGGAAAAAATTAAGAAAGAAAAAAGAACAAACCACTAAAGTCAATAAAGAACAAACCACTTGTAAAAAAAAATCATTGGATATGAATGTTTTGTATTGTTGAGGGAGATTTATCCGTATCAGTATCACCATTTACTACTACGCCAAAAGTTATACTTAGTAGCAAATTGAATAATGCATAACTTTATTATCTAAAATTGCTACACTTCTAAGAGGCATATATGGTGTTATATTTGTCCCTTTCATACCTCCGCCCAACAACCCCCTAGTGATGACAAATTATTGTGTGAACTATTGTCCGCATAGTGCTGTGTGGACCATAACAAAAGTACATTTTTAATATACTAAAAGTATATTATTTGTGTAATGAATGTACATTATACAAAATAATGTATTTTTCTTGAATACAAAATACATTTTTAATATACTAAAAGTACATTATTTATGCACTGAATATACATTATTTGATAATATAATCTACACAACTATATAGACCATACAATAATAAGTACCTGGTGATAGAGTTGCCCATTCACCAACCTTCACCCAAGAATATCATTTGGAAGCCCAAATTTCAGCACCACAACCTTAAAACCTGGTGCAGCTAATGCCACAACACGTATGTTCTAATCTAGTGGCCAGTAAAAGCTGAGAAACTGGAACTGGATTAGACTGCTGAGCTTGCATATATGCATTAAAGATTAGATGGGTCTGTTGGTTGGGGGAGAGTTATCAATATATATTTGTCACAATTAATTGTTTCACTTGTAATTTTGTACAGATATTATTAGATTCATGCAAACCCTCCAAAATCTATAACCTCACATTAATTATTAAAATATATTTATCACAATAACATTTAATTTGGTGGTTCCAAAAAAAGTTGAAATGTGTTGTTTGGTGTTACTATCAGTGCACGTGGTAAAGTGATATATTGTACCTTCAGCTGAAAGCATTGCACGGATGGATTATAAGTAGATATGATAGGAGGTCTTCATGGATGATGGCTGATGGATGAGGCCATAGATATGTATGGCTGTAACCTAGTGATAGTTTGTAAGTTTTGGGTTTGAATCTTTCTTCGATTCCATTTTTCTTGTAATTTTTGTGGTTGTGGTGGTAGTGATACTGGTGGGGCTAGCTATGCTCTTGTAGTGTAGTGAAAGTAAATGATATAGGACTTCGATGTCTTCAAAAAAAAAGATCAATAGGACTTCGATCACTTATCATATTATCTGTTAAATATTTCAATTCAAAGATAAGATAGCAAAATAGGGTTGGAGACCAGCTACGCTTGTTAAAGCGTCCCTGCAATGCGATCTTGGTTTGAAGGTTTTTATCGGTCACGGTTGAGTGTTCAACATATCATTCTCGATGACTTCATGAGTGCATGTTTCTTGACCTAGACCTAGAGAAGTTTGTGTGGATATTAGACGATTACTTCTATGATTTTTCTTTCTTGCTTGTTTTAAAAATAAATAAATGAAGTGGAATAAATTATATGAGTTGGAAGAGTCAATTATTTTGTTCAGATGTGCAATTTATAAGTTCAATGTATGTTCTTTTTTAGGTTTGTGTTTTTTTTTTTTAAAGATTGGGTTAACTTTTGCTTATCTTAAAGTTTTGGTATCCAAAAATAACAAATGCTTCAATTCCATTACCTTATCTTGATTTGATATTGGGCCAATCACTATTGGGTTTGAGCAAGATCAGACAACAACCAACCATGAAAACAAATAAAAATCGCATTGCCCTAGGTATTGAGTCTATTGGATGAGAAACCTCACTTAAAATTTATTTATACTGACAAGGACAGAAGTGCTGCATAATTAAGTGTATGTTTAGATTGGTGTTCAGTCTTTATGCTAGATTGATTCAATTTACCTCTTCATAGACTTAAGAATCAAGTTCATGTTGTCTAAAATATAGTCAAATTGAATTAGAAAACTTGGATTAAAAAAAAAAAAAAAATCTGAAATGGCCTCCATAACTAAGAAAGCAAAGGGCTGGGGATGATACAGTACCCAACAAGTACAAATAATTCATTCCCAATCATTGAAGGGGTTTTTTTTTTTTTTTTTTTTGGTTATTTTTATTATCAAATAAATTGCATTCAATGGAGATGATACAGCCTTTCCTTCCTATTAAAGCAATTGGATCATCTAATCAGGCCTCCTGGCAGGCACATTATTATTATAATAATAATAATAATAATAATAATAATAATAATAATTATTATTATTATTATTATTTTAATTTTTTTTTTGAAGGTGTGGTGCTGACAAAAAGTAGCAATCCCAATACTTCACACTTCTGTTCTTAATTTGCCATTTCCTTGGTGGCCAAATAATGGGTTAACTATGACCACACATGAATTATGAGAAAGATGGGAATAAATTCTTGACAATTAACTCTATTTTATTATAGAAAGAAGAAAAAATGAATAAAAATTGTGACTTTTTTTCTTTTAAATTGAAATGTATTAAAGTGTGTGAAGAGTATAAAATGGAGTAAAAAAAATAAAAGTATGTCAGTATGTGTACTATAACTTTGAATTACATGATTTAGTTGAGTGTCTATATCTTGAAGAAACACTTTTTTGTCTTATAATTATTTTATTTAAATGTTGAAATGTGGTTCCTTAATTATAAGGTTAAAAGAAACATGTTTACCCTAGAGCAACACAATTTTTTTCCCTCTAATTTAAATCGAGATTTATTTGCATTGTAATTAAGTGAAATAACCATATCTACAACTGAGGAGATAATTAGTAATGGATTAAATATGTTTACCTTATAATTAAACGACTATATCTAGAACTAAAAAGAATGAAACTAGGGTACAATCCCAACTAAGTTGACTAAATTGTTGACTTGGTAACTAACTAACTACTATGTTCCAAGTTTGACTCCTAGTGAGAGTAGCTTACCGG